AGTGCTGTGCAGCTGGGGAAACCCAGCCACCGGCTGCAAGCAGGGGGCGGAAGAGAGGGAGCGAGGCATCCGGGCAGTGGGGGTCGCCGGGCAATGGTGCGGCAAACCTCTGCTGCTTTGTAGGGAGGCAGTGGAAGCCCCGTGCAGCTGCTGGCGACCGGCCGGCCGGTTGGGGAAATCACGTTATTGCGGGGACAGTTGTGGTGTTCAAAAAATGTTCCCCCCAAAAAATCATGCTATCGCAAAAACATGTTAAGTGGCCACGTGTTAAGCCAGGAATTACTGTAGTATATAAACAGACAAGAACTGCTCATAAAGAGATTTTAGGGCAGAAAACCCTCTAAAGCAGCACACTAAATCGCACTATCAATGCCAAGCCGCAAACAACATTATCTGCTGCAGAAGCAGCTTTTTAGAGGCAGTTCATTCTTCTCTCAGCAGCATGGAAGAGAGCTCAGCTTAGTACCTGAATAGAATGCAGCACTGAATGCATAGATACACATTCCCCAGCATCCCATGGTGACCCCAGCATTGTATTTTTGATATTCATCAGAGTTGTGAGGGGCTTTAGGGTTGCCTTGAAACACTACTTCTCCCATGAAGTCTGTGTAGAACAGCAGCATTCCTTCAAACGAGAGCCAACCTAGAAAAAGAAAGATTTATCCATTTAAATGTAAACAGTATCTTCAAGCTCTCACCACAAGCTCTGGGTGCTGTCATATTTTAGAATTCACAGCAGGAAAGAAATGGTGTAATATTCTATAGTACACTCCAGCTTCCTTGATCATGGGAGTGACCGGAGACACTTTCTCTCTCTCTCTGCTATACTGCAACCTGCATCAAAGTCAGCCAGCATTTTAAAAGTCAAAACCTACCTTTTGAACACCATCTGGAATCCCCACAGGCAGACTACATTGGTCAGAACACTGTTCTGAGCAAGAGACATTACACATGGGCTACAGAATTCTGTACTAGTTTCAGTTCCTGGGGAGATTCAAGCTGTAACTTCACACAGAGCACCTCATTGTGGTCTAGGCCTGAGCTGCTGAAGGTATGGATATGTCTGGCACGGTCTGAGAGATGGCTGCACTGATCTTTCAAAAAATCAGATGGGAAAAGTACTTTTAGTTAGGGCAGCTACCTGGGACTCTAGCAGTATCCTCTGGTTCAATTAAAATCCATATTGCAAATCCTAGAACACTAGAACTAGAAGGGACCTTGAGAGATCATCAAGTTCAGTCCCCTGCCCTCACAGCAGGATTCAGCACCTGAGAGGCTGTACACCCTCACCAGTCTGTCCTGTAAGCTGAGTGCTTGGGCAGCCATGCAGGAGAGATTCAAATGCTGCCCAGATGATTAGCAGAGTGCCCACAGCCAGCAGCATGTGTTTCTATTGACGGTGCATATCCACATATGCCTTGGTGCACATGACAAAATTTAGTCTGCACATGGATGAAAAAGTTAGAACACTGCCCCTCACTCAAGGATGCTAATGCAGCAGTTCATCTGGTTCCTTCTGCCAATTTATTAATATTAAATCAGTCTTTTGTAGACTTAACCTGACCCATGTGGCCACTGTATTAATAGATGGGAGATGTATAAAGGGGCTTGCCAGCAGAGTACAGGAAACACCACCACCCATGTCTACCTGTCTTTCTTAGGAACCTCACAGACACCACACATGCAACAGAAGTAGGAAGAGAGTTGAACCCTGTGTTGCCTCCCATGAAAGTGTCCGTGGCATCAATCATTATCCTTACAATATGTCAGAATGAACACACATCGTATGGCATGTTGGGTCAAAAACCCGCAGAACTCCAGCCTACTGCACTCTGTCTGCACAAAGTCCCCCGGAAGCATTCGCTAGGGAACAGACAGTTAGTTGATGCCACACTGGAGTGCTGAAGACTTACACCTTTTTTGCTGTGCAGTAAGTTTCATTTAGAAATGTCCCGAGAGGCCTCATAGCAGATAAACATTCATTCAATAATAAGTCCAATAGCAGAGGAGAATGTCAGAGGAGGCTGAATTGTAAAAATTATTTTAATGGCAGAATTTTGCGTTTATAAATCTTGCTTCTATTTCAGCTTCTTCTGTGTCCCAGGACATATTCTCAGCCTAATCAGAGGCAGGTTTCTTTAGTGCCAATGTGAAGAAGGAATTAGTTTTTTGCTAAAAATAAATATTTATTCCTCATTTCTTACAGAAATAAATCTTGCTGTAAAAGAAATGAAAGAGACTTTCTGGCGTTTGGAATGCAACAATACTAAGTTTAGAGAAAATTAGGTCCCTGTTAGTAGACCTCAGCAAGAGATGATCACAACAGATCAAACACTTTAAAATATTAATCTAAACTGATTCTGAAACCATTTTCTTCTGAAGGGAAACCCAATTACTTTCATGGTGAGAAAAGCACGATGCTGTTTACCTAGGAAGTGGTTGATGCAGAGATTACGTAGCATCTTGGGCATGTGGCAGATGGTTGAACAAAGAAGTTTCATGGAAAGTGGTTGCTCCGACATTTCACCTGAACCATTCAGCTCACTCTCATATTTCACACCATTCAGCAAGATATTAGCAACCTGTACCATAAAAACTCCAAATCAGAAAACACACATCTACAGACAAAGCCCTGTCATATTACATTTCTTTGTGGTCATTGAGAGTAGAGCCAGAAAAAAATAAATGTAGAGCATAAAGATAAGAGCCTAGTTTCAGTGGAGATGCAAGCAATTGAATCAGTTAACCATTTAATCTTTTTTAAAAATTCAGTTAATCGTTTTTTTTAATTGCAAATAGTGTTCTATGCACCGTGCTGGCTTCCAGTGGATTGGAAACAAGCATCTTACACTCTTCTGGAGTTCTTTGGAAACCAAATTTAGTACTGAAAAAAGTACACATGAATCCCATTGAAGTTAATAGGAGCTATACTCAAACGGGACTGTGTTTGGCCTCAAGAGTACCGCGGTGGTGCAGACAAAAGGGCCTCCTTTAATTTACA